TATTTTATTTATTTATTTATTTATTTATGGCATTTTAGAAATGTAATTTTGAACTTCTATTTTATTTTTGATTTAATATTTATTGTAAGGCGCAGTTGAATATTTTTATAGAAACTGCGCGGTATAAATTTAAATTTAATAATAAATTTAAATTTAATAATAAATTTAATAATAATAATAAAAGAACTTTTTAAACATGTTTTAAAAGCATTACGTTTCTTACAAACACCTGGCGACAACTCAGGGAAAGATTGTAAACACCTAAATATCAGCGAGGTATTCTTAAAAACGAATTTATTTCACCCATATAACCAGATTGTTTTGCTAGCTTATACTGTTTTTTTAAGGTAATTTGGATTATAAGACTTCTTTAAAAAAAGTTTGTAAGTCACGTGTCGGTTACTGTGAAAATGCTATAGCAGAATTTGGCGTCCTGCTGTCTTGCTGCCTTGCTGAAATTAAAGGAAAATTAAGACCTGGTGTTGCTTGAGCGTTAAAATTATTATAATAAGTTGACAAGTAAAGAGTTTAAAGCTTGGAAATTGAAGGGGTTAAAGAATTAAACGGATCTTTATGTTTGAACATAAATAATTGCTGGCCACCATGAAGGTACGTAAGAGAGCTGAATGACACAATAAAGATCGTTGATATTTTCTATTACAGGTTCTTAATTGATGGATTGTGTACGAGACCTGTTTATCTAAACAATTAGCCATAAGAATATTTTATGTATTGGTTTACACTAACTTTGCCAAAAAGTTGCACAATACAAATATATCGCTTTTCAGTCGCAGCGTGAGTTCAGTTTGTAGCTGCTACTGAAATGGAGTTTGGAGTATTAAACCTTTTCAGGAGTTATCTTAGTGTACTCGTGAGTATGGTCACCTTACTAGATCCATCTAAAGGTTTGTTGAGTGTATCAGAATTAAAAGTATAGCAAATTTTAATTTCGGTGAAGGAAACAAATATCTTTTTCGTCTTTTCACGAGCGAGGGAAATGGAAAAACTACTAAGCTTTCACAAGTAACCAAACCTTAGACCTTCGAATTTCATCCTTCTTATTTTTTTTACCCACTGGACGGATGAATCACAATCCTTGGTTTATGCTGATTGGCGATTACAATTGTTTTTAGGTAGTAACTAGTTATTTGTTTTTTTAAATAATAAGTGTTAGCGTTAATAGGTGTTAAAACACCTTTATTTCTCGCCTCATTCATAGGAGAAAAAGTTATCGACGCACGCGATAAAGCCCTGAGCCGCGGCACTGATAGAGGAATGGCTTATGCCAGGCTTAAGCCTCACAAGTTTTCTTATCTCAACATCACCAGCATTGGTTTAGACATTTTTTCTGAAAAGCAGTGAGTGTGGGCTCGCCTGTGTCAACATTCCTTCATGTTTCTCTTTTAACTTGGGCGCGTTTCACGATGTAATTGGTAAAGTGATCTGTAAATTGCTTCCGTCGGATATTTAAAACAACTCAGAGAAGTTTGTCTTCAGTCAGAGTCACCATCACTATAGTATCGCGGTGAGTGGAAAATCTTAATACTCGCATAAATTAAAATTTATCAAAGAGTTGATTTTCTATTTTTTTTTTTTAATTTGTCGCAAATTCGCACCGTAAACGTTGGGGACTGGTCATTATTATCGCCGGAGGAGGAGTGGGAAGGGGGTTTCGAAGGATTTTGGTTGTGTCACGATAAAACTTACATGATTTCCACCCCCCCCCGACCCTTTAGAGGTTCAGTAATATTCTTACGATCCCCTCCCCACCCCTCATCGGCATTTAATTTTCTATAGTCCTTTCTTTATTCTCTGTCAGCAACGATTCATCTCCCCTCCACTCCCCCTGAAAACCATGTGATCCTTCCCAAAATCCTTCCCCTCTCTCAGGCGATAAATACTGACTAGTCCCTTAGAGAGAGCTAATTTTTGTGTTTTCCTCTTTCTGTTTAGTCTCCATGCATCAGTTGGCCTTGTCAGAACAAAAGGACATGCGCTGTACAGTACGCAGAGAACAGTTACTTGTGCGTTTGCGTAGAAGGATTCGAAGGGAAACGTTGTGAATTGGGTGAGGAAGCACCAGTTATAGTGCTGCATGAGCTTAAAAGTTGGAGTAAATTTTATCAATTTATTCATTACACTGATGGAATATTGCTGGCAATGCTTTTCACGTGAAAGTAATTTGCTTTTTTTATTCAGCGAAGTTGGCGCTCTCGAATCCCAGCTCTCATTAAATAACTTATCTCAACCACCATTTCCGCTTTGTTTATTTTTTGTTTATGGTTTTATAATTTTCCATCATTTCGTAGCCCTGGTTGTAAGAGTGATAACATGTGTCATACACTAACTTGTCTGAAATTCAAATTGCACTCCATAAGAAAAAATAACCTCTTCTATAAGTTTCCCAATGTACTTTTAAGAATGGGCTTACTGTTTTTCATTTCTAGATATTGATGAATGCGCTGAGGGACTACACACTTGTGACAAAAATGCTTATTGCAACAATACTGCTGGCTCTTATATGTGTGCTTGTAAGCCAGCATACCATGGTGACGGAGAAAACTGCATGTTACGTAAGTATCATCATTACAGTTTTTGACCTTGAAAGGTATACGGTCGCTTTTTCCGATAAAGAAAATCTTCGAAGTGCATGGCAATTGATCGTTTAAAAGAATTCACTAATTTACTTACTTACTTATCACTAAGTTTTTGTTGATTCAATTTTAGAAGTCATTTAGCCCTTAAACTACGACGAGTGGCCAAGACAGAGTTTCTCATTTCAATATCGATACAAAGTCAAGCAGACAAGTGATGAGAATAAAGAAAAATGTCAGTTGGGGGCTGCGATACCAAATTCTCTGAACTAACATCATAAGATTTGTATGGCAGACAGTAAGGAGAATTAAAGGCTGATAGTTTCTAAAGAAACTGTTTGGGGCTGGCAGCCACCCTCATTCCAAATAATTT